AATGTGATTCAATGAAATAATTTTTTAAATTTCCCAAAACCAAAACATAAGAATTTCCACAATGAAAGGGGTCATTAGGTACACAGCCCAATAGATGAAAATAGACTCACGTAAATATACATCATTGTAAAATTTCAAAATTCTGGGGGGCGCCTGGGTGGCTCGGTCGGTTAAGCGTCCGACTTCGGCTCAGGTCATGATCTCACAGTCCGTGGGTTCGAGCCCCGCATCAGGCTCTGTGCTGACAGCTCAGAGCCTGGAGCCTGTTTCAGATTCTGTGTCTCCCTCTCTCTCTGCCCCTCCCCTGTTCATGCTCTGTCTCTCTCTGTCTCAAAAATAAATAAATATTTAAAAAAAAAAAATTAAAAAAAAAAAGAAAAAAAAAGAAAAAAAATTTCAAAATTCTGGGGACAAAGAGACAATCCTTCAAATGTCTGGAGTGGGTCGAAGAATAACAATTTTACAAAAGCTCAAGAGTCAGAAAGATACTGAACTTCTTAAAATGAGTTTGAGAAGCTAGAAGACAATTCCATTAAATACCACAGACCCTCTGTTTGCCTTCCCCAGAGAATGAACTGAACAGTCAGCCAGTGTTGGAGAAAGGCAGTCATCTGACTATTCAGAGTTTGGGAGGGGACCAGGGACCCACCCTCCTGCTTTCATTTCTACCTTCTGAAGTACCTACTTACTGCCTCCAATGCAGAGCCTTCTGGGCATGCTGCAATAGAAGCTTTCCCTACTGCTGCCTAAGACTCTGCTTTTTCAAATCTGCTAAGTTACCCATCATCCTTTGCTTTCCAGCTTTCAAAACTGTGACTATTACCTCCTCCCTTCTACTTTTTTCCCCCCTGCCTATAGGCAAAGATTGAAAAACAGCTAAATCCTGATCCTCTATGTTGAAAAGTCAAATGGTAACACCTCAAATGAACATTCAAGAGATGGTATTACTGAGGCGTCTGGGTGGCTCAGTGGGTTAAGCGACTGACTTCAGCTCAAGTCATGATCTCACGGTTTGAGTTCGAGCCCCATATCGGTTCTTTGTTGTCAACAGGGAGCCCACTTCGCATCCTCTCTCTCCCTCCCTCTCTGCCCCTCCCCTGTGCAGTCTCTCTTTCTCTCAAAAATAAACATTAAAAAAAAGAGAGAGATAGTATTATCATGTTGTTCAGACATATGGAAGTAACATAAGAAGCATCTAAAATAAATTGGTTAAATAAACCACACCTGAGTGGTTCGGTCGGTTAAGTGCCCAACTCTTGATTTTGGCTCAGGTCATGATCTCACAATTTGTGAGATCCAGCCCCGCATGGGGCTCTCTTGTGCTGACAGTGTGGAACCTGCTTGGGATATTCTCTCTCTCTCCTCTCTCCTCTCTCTCTGCCCCTGCACCCCCATCAAAATGAATAAACATTTTAATAAAATAAAATAAAATAAAATAAGATAGGTTGGCTCCCAAGAACAGGAAGTGATGGGGTATCCGGTAGGAGTCAGGTCCCAAGACGGCTGTTTTAATCAACAAGACCTGTAGAACGATTTGACTTTTCCAATTATATCTTCTGAGTAGTGGGAATATGGGTGTTTATTAGGTTGTTCTTTGTGCTTTTCTGTATCTTCTCAATTTTGTAGGTTAAAAAAAAAACAAAAATGAAATTCCAGCAGGCAGAGGGAAGGGTTGGGTCAGTGGCCAGACTGCTTCAAAGAAGCCGGGACCAAAAGAGGCAGGCCTCCCAACCTAGGAAGATGCACGACTGAGCTGAGATGGTAAGGGACCCAATGGAACCCGTGAGGGAGGAAACTGCTGCAGCAGCACTGAATGCCTGGAGACTTCTGTTCTCAGGGCAGCAGCCAGATCACAGGGGGTCCCCCAAAACCAAGCTCCTTTTGGACCCTGAGGTATTTCTTCCAGGGATGTAGTTCAGGGGGCTTTGGTAGAAAAGCGACCACTATGACTCAGTCATGAGAGCTGGTGCTCCTATAAAAATACCGCAGGATTTCTTGGTTGTGGGAGTGGTCCGGGTCCTGGAACTCTATCTGCCACCCTCGGAAGCATTCACAAAAAGTGAGCTCACAGTGCCCTCTCGTGGTTAGAGTCTGTCAGCCTCCATGGCCAGAGGTAGAAAGGTAATGTTTCTGAGCTTTTAAAGCCCACAGTCAACTCCCCCTACATCCCATTCCGCATCCTTTTATAAGTATTTTATTGTAAGTATTCCCACTAAAGAAAGAAGGAATGGAGGGAACATCCATGGAGATGAAAAGAAAGCTGTTGACATTTTCCTTTACTTTAGAAAAGATCCTTACACAACACTGATACATTTTACTCTTTTAAATGCTCTTGTTGATAAAGGTCAAAAAATAGCTCTATCACTGCTGAGGGGAGCAGTAATGGCAAGAGTGAGTGAGGTAAGCAACCACGAAGGGGTACAGAGGGAACACAGCGCGGGAAACCTGGATGGGAGGAAAAATCCAAAGTCAGAGCTGAGACTGGAGAGTCTGGACTTGGTAGTCGGGAAGACCTTGGGCCCAGGGCGGGGATCTGTCGCTTACTACCTAGGAGGTTGTGCGCAAGTCATTTTGCTTTGCTGAGCTTATTTCTTCAAAAAACCAGCTCCTCTGATCCTTCTGAATTAACCAAGAGACTGTCAAACGCAGTGGCCAAGAGCCCACTCTGTAGCCAGATCCCCTGACAGTATCCCAGCATTACCGCTTACTGTGTGGCCTTGGGTGAACTATGAAACCTTTCTGTGCCTCACAGATCTGTGGTGAGATTCAGTGAATGAATGCATGTAAAGTGCTTGGAAAAGAGCCCGGCAAGCATTCAATAAGAGTCAACTATTCTTATAATCATTCACATATAAAGTACCTGAAACGTGATCAGATCGGTATATCAGTTCCCTTCCCCTGGAATCTGGCTCTGGGCAAAATGCTTGTGTCCCCATCACGTGAACAGATCTGGTCAGTACTCCAGAGTCAGTACCTTCCGAGTCTGTGGGTATCACCGCCTTTCCTCCACAGATCCTTTCCACCTGATCCTGAGTCCTTGCAACCTACTTTGCAGTCTTCTACTGACATCTTTTTGGAGGAAGTGGGGCTCACAGGAGGAAGTATGAATTCCTTTGCCCACAGGAGGAAGCTGGCCCTACTGACATCCCTTTTAGGAGACGCCCCCCAAGGGCGCCTGGGTGGCTCAATCGGTTAAGCGTCCAACTCTGGACTTCTGCTCAGGTCAGCATCTCATGGTTCGTGAGATGGAGCCCGGCATTGGGCTCCAGGCCAACAGCACAGAGCCTGTTTGGGATTCTCTCTCCCTCTCTCTCTGCCCCTCCCACTTCTCAAAATAAATAAACATATATATAAAAAAAAAAAAGAAGAAGGAAGAGGCCCCCAGAGGTGGGGCCCCGGATTGCCACAAGGATCCATGCTCATCTACACTAGCGGGGGCTACTTGCCCCCAGTCGTCACTCCAGGGGCAGCTGCGTGTTCTTGTTCAATCATCTTATGGTCAGTGCATAGTGAGGCAGCTATGGCCACAGAAGAGTTTTTGTCCATATGCAGCTGACTAGCTGGGAAGGACAGCCAGCACGTTAAGCTGATAACAGCTTGACATCTGACTGTCAGTCATGACCTCAACAGTGCCAAGCCATTGGCCTTTCAGAATAGCCCGAGAAGGAAGTGGAAAACAAACGTGGTCAGGACCAGGTAAACGGGTCAAGACCAGGGCCTGTGGATTTTATTTTACTTTACCTTATTTTTATTAAGTAATCTCTATGCCCAAGGTGGGGCTCAAACTCACTACCCTGAGGTCAAGAGTCACATAATCTACTGACTCAGCTAGCCAGGCACCCCAGCCCCCCACCCCCCCAAACAAGACCAGGTCAGGATCCATGGAAAAGAACCACACCAAGAGTTTATACAAAAACCTTTTATTTACTGTTTGTATTTCTTCTCCCCATCCCTACCCCCGATCTGGAACCCAGCCAGCTCCTAAGGCTTCCTGCTGTCTGGCTCTTGAAATTGGGGCCTTGGAGACATAGTTAGGGGTTATGAGAGGTGGGAATCTCCTCACCCAGCAGTTGTGGAAGTTGAAGGAAGCGTTCCTGCCTGGCTGAAGCTCCAGCAGCCTCCCAGATTAGCCCCTCAAGTCAGAGGACCCACCCCCCACTGGATGGACGGGAGGAAGAGATAACACGCTTCTACACCACGCCAGGCTCTATAGCTGAACCAGTCTCTCACCTGGAGATGCAGCCAGCATCAAAAGGGTGGGGGATGGGGGAGGGATGGAGCATGCAGCAGTTCTGGGTCCTAATCAACGAACAGGGAAACAGGAAGAGGTTGGCCTGGTTGCACTGAAATGGGAAAGGGGAAGGAGGGTACAGGAGCACACAGGACGGGCTACTGGCCTGGGGTCGGGCCAACCGGGCACCTGTGAAGAGAGGTTATAGCCCCTACGGGAATAGGCACTTCCAGCTCCACAACCACCTGGAAGAGGGAGAAGGGAGCCCCGTCCCCACCTAGACAAAGGACTAATGACACAATAAACACATTTGGTCTGAGAGTGCCAGAAAAGGGCATCCACTGGCACAGAGAAGGGCAGCCAGCCCTCATCTGCCAGGTATGGGCCTGGCTGCCTCATTGGCTACCACAGGCCACTCTGGGTACTGTCACCCCTGCCTCGACCGTCACTGTCCCCCCCACCCCCAAGCTCTGCAGATCTCATGACCCTGCTGCACATGGATACTGCCAGCCAGACTCCAGCTGGTGGGGCAGAAACAAGGACCCTGAGCTCCAGGGTCCTTCCCTGGATGAGGCCTGCCCGTGGAGATGTCAGGGCCCTTTCCCACAGTCCTGCTGCCCTGAGACAGACATATAGAGCCCTCCTGGGAGGGCACTGCACCCTCAGGTGCTCTGGAAGACAAGATCCTGGGGAAGCACTCTCAGGGAGGATGAAGAACCTCAGAATGGTATTTGCCGCTCTTTCCTATCCCAGGTCCCACTCTCCGGGCTCAGAAGTCTGAATCTGCATCCATGAGCTCTGCCTCCATCAGGTTGGTGCGGGAGTGGATGGGCCCCAGCCCCTGCCGGCAGCCCTGAGCCCAGGCCGCCGTGGGAACTGGGGCACTGGGCAGAAATGGATCCTGCAGGTGACTGGGTTCTGGGCAGAAGGGGTTGGAGACCAGGGTCCAGGCTCTCTGTCGGCAGGATTCCCCAGCTCCCCAGGCACCTGCGGCCACCAGGCACTTCTGCCGGGGCAGCTGAGGCAGTCGAGGAACAGCACTGGCCGCAGGGGCAGGGGCAGGGGCAGGGTGGTGAAGCTCAGGAGGTGGCACCAGCGGGCACACCTCCTTCTTCCTCTTCCTCCGCTTCTTCTTCCGGCCCAGGCGCTTCTCCAGCTCTGGGGAGATCTCTGCCTCAACCAGCCACAGGTTGGCTTTTTCCTCTGGGGGCACTGATGGCAGGAGAGAGAACGTGAGCCTGGGATGCTGGTCTGTCCACATCACCTGTTCTTTCCTTGGACCCCTACTTTTGAGGTCTGGGACCCACAACTCTAGATCTCTAGTGCCTCAGCCCCACACTCTACATCCTCCAGGGTCTCCCTTCTGGCAGCTGCTTGTGCTCCAGTCCCAAGAACCCCCAGACTCCATGCCCCCACCCCCCACTTCCTACAGAAGCTTGACTCCTCGTACCTGGAGTTGCCACAGGGGTGACAGACACATCCTGGGGCAGTATGGCTCCTCTCCGAGCCACCATCTTGGTGACATGCTGGGCCCAGGCAGAGGACACATCGGCAGAGGGCTCATTGAGGTCAAAGGCCAAACCCGCTGTGGGGATAGAAGGAAGGGCTAAGGAATCATGACTGCCCCACTCCTTGGGTGACTGTAGCTCCCTCCCAGTCCACGGAGTCCAGAAAGCCCACCCAGGGAATCACAGTGATCTACCCAGTCCCAGTGATCTACCATCACTAGAGGCCAGAAACCCAGTTCCTAGAACCCAGACTTACTCTAGCCCAGGGAGAACCACTGGAGAAGACAGAAGAAGTGAGAGGGAGATGACTCCTTTTGAAACCAAAGCACCAGCAAGCAGACCCAGGGGCAGAAACAGCGGGCAGAGTAGCGAGGGACGGAAGGGGGATGAGAGAGGGTGGAGTGTGGGAGGAAAGGAGGGGCTGCTTTCTTCCTTCCTGCCTTCCTGCCGGTCCATGTGTCCGTAGCAGCTTAGTGGGGAAGGGGGCCCAGGCGTTGCGGGGATCGGGTGGCTCCAGTGGAGGAAAGGGACCGAGGCTCACCCACAGGCCCGTCGTGGGAGACAGTGTGCATGCTGAAGGAGAGTTCCTGGCCTGGGTTCTGCAGCAGCTCACGCCGCTTGGAGAAGGCCTTGGCGATCATCTTGCTCTTCTTGATGCGTTTGGGCTCATCATCACTCTGCCCAGTCAACCTGAGAGCAGAAGAGATGGGGGAGGGGAAGTGGAGGAGCAGCCACTTCCCATCAAATCCTGTTGAAGACCGGCGAAGCCTTTCCCTCCAGGGATGGAGCCTCCAGAGGGCCCCAAGTCCCTCGAGGACTCTGAGGAGAGACCTCTGCAAAGAAGTGGGCCTAGGATGCAGGGCTCCTGGATGCCCAGTACTCAAATCGCTCAAATCATTCCCTTCTTAGAAGAAAGATGCTGGCGGCTGGCTCAGCACTTGAAGGGTCCTCCTGAGGACAGGAGGTGTCACCAGGGGGCAGTGGTGAGCCACACAGAAGGCAGCTTTAGGCAGCTCAATGCAGACCCTTAGAAAACTGGTCTGCCGGTGACTGTTGAGAGACCACGGAGCAGGCGACCCTTATTGGTGGGGACACCAAGAGTGAGGGAGTAAGGCGGCGAGGTCAGAACCGGCTGGCTGCTGGCCCCACCTGCACCAGGTGCGCCTCCAGATGAGCAGCGTGGCCTTGGTCCAGACCCAGGTGCTCATGGCAATGCCGGTTCCAAACATGGCAAACAAGTTGATCTTCTCCACCAGGAGGCTGGGGCGATTCTTGATTTCACAGTCAGGAATGGGCTTCTTGGTGGGCAGCCCGATGGTCACGTTGGCCTGGCACCTGTGGTGGGGGGGTTAGTAGACAGGTGAGGCTCTCTGGGTGCCCAATCAATCCAAAGACTTTAGAAAGAGCTAAGGCCCACGGCAACGATGCACAGCCCTGGGTGCTCACTAGAGTCACTTGGGACATTAGAGTTACTTTTTATAACTACTAATGCCTGGGTCACACCCCAGACAATTAAATCACATCTCTGGGGGAGGACCAGGTATTAGTGTGGTTTAAAGCTTGCTTCCCAGACTGGAAGCTGGAGCCGTTAAGGAAGAGCCTGAGGCAGTCAGGATGTGGACTGGTGTCCATTTTAATGAGCATTGTAACTGCTATTCCTGATATCAGCTAGTGCAGCCCTTCTTTCAGTGGATGAGATGCTTCACTCTCAGATTCATCCTCATGGTGACACAAAAAAGCACAGGCAAGGCTAGCAAGTATTAATAGGTTGTTACACGTATCGTGGAGAGGTAACTACTCCGTGCAGGGCTCTATAATAAGCTCTGTAAAAGAGTACGTGAGAATTAGAGTGACTTCTGTGGCCAACACAGAGTCGTCAGAGAAGCCCAAACATGAGAGGGCTGAACAGTTAAACACACCAGCCAGACAGTGGCTCGTGCAGAGAGGAGAGCAGAGTTGAGCCGGGACAGGAGACGTGCTTTGCCGTGTTTGCAAATTACAGAGCAATTGACATCTTGGGTGCCCAGAGCAGGATGGACAGTTTCACCTGCCCGTCAGAGGCAGGTGCCTCGCAGACCCTTGCTGGACAGCAAGGAGGGCTAGGGCTGTCTGAAGTCCTGTGGCTGCCGCCCCCAAGCCCCCAGCACTGCACTCACAGCACATAGTCCCGGAAGCTGCGCTCCCACTCAGCCTGGTTGAAGAAGTCGTAGAAGTGACAGCTGAAGGTGATGAGCACAAAGCCAAAGGCCAGGAAGCCAAAAATGCCTGTGGAGGGCCAGGGTGGGACAGAACATTACCAATCCCCGGTGTGGGAGCAGCAGTGGGGACAAGGCGTCTGCCCCATTCAGGCCTGAAAGATGGCTGAGTCTGGGGTAAATTCATGCTAGGCTCGGTTTGCTGTATTCTCCAGAATAAGACTTGAAGGGCACTTGAGCCAACTGTGGGAGGGCCCCAGTGGGCACGAGGAAGCAGTCTGGGCACGAGCCTGAATTCTTCCATCCAAGAAGGTCCCCTTCTTTTGAGTTGCTACCACCATGACCTCTCACCCCATCCCACCCCCCATACACACACATGCCCCACAGCCTTGTCTTGTTCCCATGGCTGCTAACTTGCACCACTCACAAGGCATCCTCCAAGATCCCATCCTGCAGGTCCCTCAGCCACAGAAGTGTGCAGTGTCGGACTGACCAGTACCTCGGGCCAAAGGCCCTGGGGCCCACTCACCGAGGCGCAGCATGGTCTCGTTGATCTTGCTGGCAGCCTTCTCACTCAGCAACCCGGGATGGTTGCTCTTGATGGAAAACAGAGTCATGACTCCTGAACAGAAGAGAGATCTCAGACATTAGTGGGGTGAGGCCACTCTCCCGGGAGGGATGGAGGTGGCAGGCAGTCCCAGGTCTGATTACTCCTCTGCTGATGTAAAGCTTGGGGAAACTGGAGACACTTGAGAAATGGGGCACAGCTGGTGGCAGATGTGCTATGTACTTGGAAAGACGGGGGCAGAGCCCAGACAAACAGTCGAGAAGAGAGAGAAGGTGCCTTCGTCCTGGCCCCGGCTCCCCGTAAGTAAGGCAGCCAGGTCATAGCTGTGCTGATGGAAAAGGCAAGAAAAGAGATGTAAAAACAGAGCTATGCGATAGAAATATGTCAGCCACACCCATAAGCTCACATTTTCTAACAGCCTCGTTAAAAAAGTAAAAAAGATGCAAACGAAGCTGATTTCCATACCTTCCGCGAGCAATACATCATTGTGTTTTAGTAGCATTTCAATATGTAATCCACACAACAAACTATTAATGAGACAGTTTACCTTTTGGTGTGTGCGGAGTCTTTGCAATGCAGTGTGGATTTTGTACTTACGATACATCGCAATCTGGACCAGTTTCAACACAGGTGGCCAGTGGCTACCGTACAGGAGAGCACGGGCCCGAAACCTAAATCGAAGGCCCAGACACTGGCAGAAAGAGGTGGGCTGAACAGAAGGCTGACAGCACAGGGAGAGGAAACTGAAGTTTACAAAGAAAATGCAACACAAATGAGCTAGGAAGAAACGGAGGCGGCGGATCCAGACGGGGAAATTAGGGAACAGAGAATCTGTGCATGTTGTGAAAACTGTGTGTGACTATGTTCTGAGGGTAGGAGGCGGATGAGGAGCCAGAAGATGGAGCGCATGTATAAATTCAGGGTGCACACACACGACCAAAGGCCCTGAGTTGGTCCACGTGGACAGGGCGGGTTATTCACCATACAAGTGCACCGGGCCAAGGGCTGAGCGGGGGCTGGAACACAGCTCAGGCTCTACTCCACAAGCTGTGAGCCCCGGCTCAAGGCTCTGGAGAAAGGGGCTGCCTTGCTCGGGACAGCACAAAGGTTGCTGCAAAGGTAGCAGAACCGGCAGCTCCTAGCTCCTACTTACACAGAGCGGGTGCTCAGCGCTTTTTGCTGCCCGACTGGTGCCCGCTTGGTGCCTACTCACCTCGGATGAGGAAGTAGCCTCCCACAATGAGCACTAGGCCAATCGGGGCCAGCACGAAGCCTGCACGGTATCGGTAGTTCTTGTAACCCACAAAACAGATGCCGCTCACAGAGTCCCCATCCACCTGCGGCACAAAGGCGGGGGGGGGGTGGGAGGGACAGAGTGGGTCACGGGCCCCCCTACCCAAGCCCACTCCACTCAGGTCCCCAGCCTCCTACCGGTCACCATACCTGGGCGACGGCAAGGATTGCCACAGTGAGGACAAACGGGAGTGACCACGTGAGCAGGTGGAAGTAGGAGGTCTTGCCAGAGAGAGGCTGATAGGTGGTGCCCAGGGCTTTGAAGGAGGTGTGCCAGGCATAGGTGAGGACCACAAACCAGACGACACCAGCCATAAGGGCGTAGTACACGATGACAAAGATGATGACGCAGGACAGGGTCTCATTGGAGCTGTGCAGACATGTGGAGGGGCACTTGGGGAGGGCATTCCATATTCCCTTTATCAGCTCTCTCCACCCTGTCCCCAGAGCCTTGGCCTCTAACGTCTGGAGGTTCCCTAGGAGTCAGAGCTTGGAGGTGGGACTCAGGTCACATTCGAAGAGGTTATGGAAGATGCCCCTCTGAGCAGATGCAAACAATCACATCCCCAACGCTGGATACCGTAGGCTCAACAAGGCAGAGCTGAACCCTACACTGAAATCTTCAGTTTCAAGCCCACCCTATCCCTTTTCATTTCAGCCTTCTGTCCGTCACCCTGGCTTCTGGGTCCTCAAAACACCTACGTGGGCTCCCCGAGCCTCATGGTTCCATCTGCACGGCAGACGATCTCCCGGCGGGCGCCGTCCATGAACTGGGCCAACCAGCCGATGCTCCCCACAAAGAAACACGCGTTGACGTAGAAGAGAATAACAGCAGGGTAGCGATTCGAATTCCGCCAGTCAGCCACAAATGTGGCCTAGAAGAGAGAAGTGGGATCCGCTCTATGAGGTTAGGGTGATTCTGCTGCCACAGACACCTTTGTCTGAGCCCCCGAACCCTCTTATCCAGACCCTTCCCCCAGGGACACCCCCCAAGGCATCCTCTCCCCATTCCCTCTGCCCTCACAACGCAGACAACTGTCGATCCACTTCCCACTTTATAGGCTGTGTGTTCTGGACCCCCGTTCCCCTAACCCCTCCACCCGCAGGCCTGCCCTCAGCTGACCAAGGTGAAGAGTGTGCAGAGGCCTGTGACTGCGCCGAAGGCCGCGATGTAGCTGTGCATGTCCTGGTGCTCGGCCTCAGTGAATAGCGGGTTCTGGCACTGGATCCCACATCCCTCCACGTCCTCATACCAGCTCTTGGGGTTGTCGGTCCGAACCAAGGGAGCCTCACACTGGCCCGAACTGTTGAACTTGATGTTCTGCACCTCATTCTGGCATGAGGGAAGGGGAAAAGGCAGTGCAAAAGGGAGCAGGAGGCCCAGGGGCACCCTTTGGCTTAATACGAGGCATAAGGGCAGCTTGGTAGAGTGCCTACGAGCACAGGCTGGAGATAGCTTTCCAGCTTTTGAAACCCCGCCCTGCCACTCAATGACAAACTATATCAAAAGGCTGGGACAAATTATTGGACCTCTCGGTTTCCCCACGTATAAGACAGCAGTACCTACTTCATGGTGTGGTTTAAGGGGTAAGTGAATCAATGGCTGTAAGAGGCTCTTATGGTATTTGGCAGATAGTAAATAATAATAATTAGTTTTATTACCAACATTACTGCCATTAGTATTATTATTACTTATGAGCCCTCCTTTACCACCAGAACGAGATCACATCCGTCTTGGGGTCTATAGCTGTTTTACATGTGCGCGCCTGGACTCCCTAAATACACAATAAACTTCTTGGAGAGTGAGTTCCTGTCGTCATCGACCCCCGAAACTCCCCAACACCTAGCGGAGTAGGTGCTCAAAAAATATTTGTTGAACACAAGTTATCGTCTACAAATCAACAGACAATCCCTGATAGACTGGCCCCGCCAGTGAGCTTCAGTTTGGGTTTGTGGCTCATTGACCCCACGGCTGCAGATTTGGGGTCTCCCGGGAGAGAAGGCTGCGGGGCTCCCCTGCCCCTGCTTCCTGTTGGGCCCTGCCCTAGGCTTGCGGCTTGCCTGTCACAGCACTCACCGGGCAGCCCTCGGGGAAGTGGTCAGGGGTACAGCGCAGGAAGTCAGGCCAGCCACGCTCCCTCTCCACAATGGCACAGGGGCCTCGGGTAGCCTGGCACAGGGTGCGGCTGGGCAGCTCCACCCGGTCATTCTCGCATTTGGGCATGTACACAGCACACAGCAGGGGCTGGATCACTGCCCAGCAGCGGGGGGCGTTCCGGAGGCCTGGAGAGAGGCAACAGTGTGGATACATTGTGGTGACACCCCTCCTCACTCTGACCCACAGCTGTTTCCCAGGCCTAGGGCAGGTCTCTTTGCCATAATGCGGGAGCTGTCGGGCACAGTGTTTCTCAACAGAGCATTTGGGCAGGAGGATCCTTTGTGCTGCAGGACTGTCCGATGTATTGCAAGACATTTAGCAGCCCTGGACTCCGCCCACTAAATCCCAGAACCCGTTAAGTCATCACGACAATTAAAAAACACTCCCCTTGCCCCTACTCCAGGGTTGGTGACTGCAAGAGGGCCTGAAGGGGAGTTTCTGGGATGCTGGTCATGTTCTATTTCTTGATCCGGTAGTGGTTAAATGTGTGTATTCATCATGTGAAGAATCGAGCTCATGACTCACACGCTGGTCTGTGTGTATGTTATAATGCAATTCAAGTTTTTAAAAAAACAGCCCCCATTTCCAAAAGCCCTGCTAGGGAGCGTTAGTGCCTCTGGCTGAGGACCCCAGCTCGACTTGCCTTGTACCTTTTCAGGGGCATCCTTAAAACCTTCTACAGGCCTCTTCCAGGGGAAAGGGAGGTTGTGGGACCCACCCCTTCCAGGGCCCATGCACTAGAACGAGATGTTGCCCCTTGCCCAGACCCCAGGATCCCTGTTCCTCTTACCAAGCTGAGGTGAAATAGAGAACAGGTAGGAGCTTAAGAAGAGGTAGTCAGGGGAGCCCAGGTACTCCAAAGCCAGAGGAGGAAACAGGAAATCAGATGGAGAGAAACAGAGGAGGCTCTGTCCAGTGCAGAGGGAGGAAACATGTTGTCAGCAAGACAGAAACAGCACCCCTGCCCCAACCCAGGCACCCACCCTGCTATCCCAGGGGCGGGGCTCACTCAGCATTCCGCCCCCATTGCCCCTCCCGAATCACCCCTGCTTCAGGAATACCGGGGTCCCACACAAGAAGTTGTGTTAGGAGAAGCGTCTAAGGACGTGAGAGACAAACTGGCGACTGCCACACTGCCAGGCTGGGGGCGGTAGGGGCAGATAGCTGCTCTTTTTAGGAGGGAGGCAATACAGCAGAGGGATGAGGGGCATGGACACTACAATTAGCCTGCCTGGGTCCGAGCCTTGGCTCTCCCATTTCCTGGCTGTGTGATCTCCGGCAAATTACTCTATCTCTAGCTTCAGTTTCCTCATCTGCAAAATGGGGATTTACCTCCTGGGAATGTTGTGAAGAGTTTGATAACGCACTTGATGTGTTTAGCATGGTACCCGTCAGATAGTAAGCACTCGGGAAATATCAGCTGTCATCACTTATCTGAGACCTCTGACAGCTCACAGCTCTCACTACCACAAAGCCTATTCCAGGGGCACAGAGCAAGTTCCGGTCAAGAAGCAGTGTCCTGGGGTGCCTGGGTGGCTCAGTCGGTGGAGCGACCGACTTCGGCTCAGGTCATGATCTCACCGTTTGTGAGTTCGAGCCCCGCGTCGGGCTCTGGGCTGACGGCTCAGAGCCTGGAGCCTGCTTCGGATTCCGTGTCTCCCTCTCTCTCCGCCCCTCCCCCACTCATGCTCTGTCTCTCTCTGTCTCAGAAATAAATAAACATTAAAAATAAAATAAAAATAAAAAGAAGAAGCAGTGTCCTCAGGCAACTTTCCTGAGCCTCCACTCAAATCAGAATCACCTAGGGAACCTTTATCATTCTAGAGGGAGAAACCCACTCTCAGAAATTCTGACTGAGTGGGCAGGGGCAGAGAATGCACCAGTGGTTGCCAGGGGCTGGGTAGGAGGAGAATTTGCCTACAAAGGGGCAGTAAGAGGGAATTTTGGGGTCTGATGGGCTTTTCACTATCTTGAATGCAGTGGCTGACTACATAACTCTATATATTTGTCTAAATTCATAGCGAGGTACAACAAAGAAAAAGTTAAATTTACTGGATGTTTACTGAACACTATACTTAAAAAGGGGGGAGCTCACCAGAGTAAAATGTATTCTAGAGGAGCAGCAAGCAGCTGATTAACAAAAATATTATGCTATTTTTCTGGGTTTTGTGATATTTGCAGTCATCAACTTTTTAAAATGTGGAATTTCATTGTTTTTCTTTTTCTCGTTTTAAGTATTATATTGTACCTTAAAAATGAGGAAAAGAAAGACTATTAAATAAATCTTAAAAGACAATTGAAGAACCATCTAGGGAAAAAATGATTTGGATCCTTACCCCATTTCTTACATAAAAATAAGTTCCAGATAAATTCAAATGACTGCATGAGTTTTAAAAATTAAAGTACCAGAAGAAAAGATGGGATGTGGTTTTTAAATCTTAAGTAGAGAAGGCCTTTCGAAGTATGACACAAAACTCAGAAGCTACGAAATAAAAGATTTTAAAAAGACTTCAGAAAAAAATAGGGTAAAAACAAAAACCATGAGAAACGCAATATACTGAGAAAATATATTTCCAATGCATATCACTGGTAAAGAGTTAATCTCCTTACATTAAAAAAAAATTTTTAAAAAAATGGGGTGCCTGGGTGGCTCGGTTGGTTAAGCGTCCAACTTTCGCTCAGGTCATGATCTTGTGGTCCGTGAGTTCGAGCCGCATGTCGGGCTTTGTGCTGACAGCTCAGAACCTGGAACTGCTTTGGATTCTGTGTCTCCCTCTCTCTCTGCCCCTTCCCTGTTCATGGTCTGTCTTTCTCTCTCTCAAAAATAAATAAATATTAAAAAAAAAATTAAAAAGAAAGAGCTCATCTCCTTATATGCCTTAGCTCCTCCACATCAGTAAGAAATTCATGATCCTATAGAAAAATGGGCAGAAGACAGATCTAATCCAAATGGCTTTTAAACACATTAAGAAATATCCAATCTCACTGTTAATAAACTGAAATGTGGGGGCGCCTGGGTGGCTCAGTCGGTTAAGTGTCCGACTTCAGCTCAGGTCATGATCTCGCGTCTTGTGAGTTCGAGCCCCGAGTCAGGTTCTGTGCTGACAGCTCGGAGCCTGGAGCCTGTTTCGGATTCTGTGTCTCCCTCTCTCTCTGCCCCTAACCCACTCGCATTCTGTCTCTGTCTCTCTCAAAAATAAATGAAAGCATTAAAAAATAAATAAATAAACTGAATGTGAAATAAAACTACAATGAGACATAATTTTTTAAACTTTTAGAGGGATACAGATCAACACATTTGAAAATGGCCTATTGACAAGAATGTCAGTGAAACTGGCACTTTTGTACATTTCGAGTAAAACAGAAATTAGTAAACACTTAGGGAGACTATTTGGCATTATCTGTCAACATTTTATACTAGTGATCCCACTCCACATGTTTACAAAGCCAATACACAAGACTATTCGTTGCAGCATTGTTTGTAACAGCAGAAGAGGAGAAACTGCATGAATCCGCAGCCATCAACAGGAGACCGGCTGCATAAAATATCATAAATCAATATAATAGGACACCACACCAGGTTGAACTATTTGCACTGAAATGGAACTATCTCCAACGCATCTTATTCAATGGATTCAGTTGGGTGGGAACAGCCTGAAGAGTAGGCCACTAATGGTTGTGGGAGGAAAAAAAACTAAGGACACATCTACATTTGTACACATGTGGGATGTCTCCGAAAGAACACACAAAAACCAGTGCTGATGGTTGTCTGTAGGCAGGGGAAACGGGGAGCCGGAAGCAGAAGTGAAAGGATTTAACTTTTGTTACTTTTGAGTTTTATACTATGTGCACATACTGCCTATTTTTAGAAGTAATTAAGCTTAGAAAAATAAATATGCAAGTTACTGAGATGGGGGAAGCTCCGTAGAGAAGAGAAGGGAACAAAATTGTAGACCAGAAGAAAAGGGACATCAACTTTATCTGTATTATTTTATTCCTTTTGTTTTATTAAAATACGAAACGGAGGGGGACAAAAGACACAGGTGTTATGTTAGTCTTTGCATTTTTCTATATTCATAGACTTCTTCAATATTTGCTACAATTTAAGCTCTGAAAATGACTTATTTTTTATTTTTCTATTTTTTTAATGTTTACTTGTTCTTGAAAGAGAGAGAGAGAAAGACAGACCATGAGCAGAGGAGGGGCAGAGAGGGAGACACAGAATCCAAAGCAGGCTCCAGGCTCTGAGCTGTCAGCACAGAACCCGACGTGGGGCTCGAACTCACATACCGCGAGTTCATGACCTGAGCCGAAGTCCGATGCTTAACCAACTGAGCCACTAAAATGACTCTTTATGTGCTTCTGGTGATCAGTCAAGTTGAAAACCATTGTTCTGAGATTGGTTTAACATTAGGAAATTCAATCAATGCAATTTACCACATTAACAGATTAAAGAAGAATAAAATCATATGATATCAATAGATATAGAAGTAGTTAATAGAATCCAACATGCAACCATGATAAAAAGAACAATAGGCAAATTAAGAATAAAAGAACAGTTTCTTTTTTTTTTTTTAATTTTTTTAACGTTTATTCATTTTTGAGACAGAGAGAAACAGAGCATGAACGGGGGAGGGTCAGAGAGAGGGAGACACAGAATCTGAAGTAGGCTCCAGACTCCGAGCTGTCAGCACAGAGCCCGATGCGGGGCTCGAACTCACCGACCGCGAGATCATGACCTGAGCCGAAGTCGGCCGCCCAACCGACTGAGCCACCCAGGCGCCCCAAAAGAACAGTTTCTTAATCTGATAAAATGTAACTACAAGAAACCTACACCAAACCGTATATGTAATGGTGAAGGGTTGAAAAACTTTAGAATACAGAAAAAGTCAAAGATGAGGGTTGCTGCTACAATTACCACTTCTATTTAACAATGTACTGGATGTCTTAAGTAGTGCATAAGGCGATAAAGGTACATAAATAAAGGCTTCGAAAAGATACATGGCTTGAAAAGGGAGACCTCAAACTCATTATTCACAAATGAGATGACTGTGTATATAATAAATAATCAATTTACCTAGTTTACTGGATTCACAATCAATTGCATTTCTATACACCAGCAACA